TAAGTAATTCATTAATCTCCCCAATTTATTTTATTTAATTACAAAATGGCACAGCCGAAATATTTAGAATTCCGGTTGAGTTCATAAAAGTATCAATATTCCACAATGACCCATAAGAAATTTATAACACCACAAGACATCACAAATATCAATCAAGTGACAAACAACCACATAACACACAAGAATTAACCATCCTCACACATCGAAATATGCATTCGTGAATGTTCACCCACATATAACCAAAATTCCAAACAAGACTAATAAAGATCCATTTAATTCCTATATTTTCCTTAAAATACTAAATCCCAAAATTTCTTTGCTAACACATCAACTTAAAAGAGTTCGGGTATTCAGCACAATACCCCTAAATTTCTGGAAATTACAATTTGACCCCAACAGTTTCAAAACTCACACATGCAATTAAGCCAAAAGTTCCTAATTCAGATCTTCATGAAATCAACCCTTAATCTATCTGAAGTTTCATTAAATGCAGAAAAAATCCTGTTAAAAGTTATTTTATGCATATTTTTCGAATTTACATTTTCCACCCTAGACTCTCTAGATCTATACATGCATGACTCTTAGAAATTCCCAAAAATCCTTTTTCTTATAAAACTTTTTAGAAACTGAAATTGTCTTTCACTAAGTGCTGAAAAACAGATTTGGAAAACTACTAAAATTTAATTTCTCAAAAATTGCAGATTTGCCCCAAAAAGCTTTCGGATTACACATGCATCCATACTAAAATTTCAAATTCCATTTCTTCATAAACAACCTTCAAAAGTCCGAAATCTTTGTTCAATATATGCAGAAGAATGCAACTAAAAACTTGAGTTATGCAACAAATTCGAAAATTCCATTTTTCACCCCAAAACCTTTAGATCCATACATGCAAGACCACTAGAAGTTTCGAAAAATACTTTTTCTTGCAAAAGTTTCCTCAATCTGGAATTTCCGTTCCATAAATGCTAAAAACCAGTTTTGAAGACTCATATGAGTCTGACTTCTCACAAATTACAGATCTGGCCCAAAAGTATGCATATTTACACATGCAACCACAAAACTTTCCAAAATTCAATTTTCTTCACCATTTCCGAAATAACTGAAATTTCTTGAAAGCTATTAACTCAAATCTACCATTTCAGACCTCTGATCATACATGCAATAACATAAATCATGAGAATTAACAAAAAGGAACCATTAAGTGCAAGAAAGAACATAAAACAAGAATTAGGGGTGTCTTTTAATTAATTTCAAAATTTTCTGTTCTTGATACTTTGATACCTCCATTTGCAGCAAGGATTTCGATTCCTTACCTCAAAAATAGAAAGGAATGAAAGCTAGCTGAAAAGGGGAAGGTTCTAAGGAACCTTCAAAGAAAAGCCGAAAGTTAGAAGAAGAAAGGAACGAAGAAGAAAGAAGGGGGTTGGAGAACTTGGAATGGCAGCTTCTTACCTCTTCAAGTTTGGAGATTCAACCAAGCTACTTTGATATGAAAGGACACGGTATAGATTTCAAGATGAGAGGTGTTTTCACTAGTGAAAGGACACCATGTATTTATAGTGTTCTTGGAGTATTCTAGGGCAAGGGTGAGATAGGGAATTCTCATCTTGGCTTGATAAAAATCTTGTTGGTTTAGGGGGGTTTCGAGCTTGATGGAGCTGGTGACAATGGTGGTTTGAGGAGGAAGAAATTTAAGGGAGAGAGAGGGAGAGTGATGCAGCCGAAATGAGAGGGAGAGAGAGAGACCTTTGGCCTTCTAATAGGCATGGTTGAGGTTGAGTGTGAGAATGGCACTAGTAGGGATTAGGCTAGGCTTAGGATAATCATGTGTTTATTTTATAATTATTAATTAATCCTCCTCTAAATACACACACATATACGGCACATATACATACATATATATCATGTATTATGATATTTATACTAAGTCCTAGCATGCATGTATAATTTACCCGTAAACACATAGGCATATAAGGTCACGTATAAAATTCAATATCTAATAATTCGGCACATAATAATCCACGTATAGCCCTATTATTAGCAACATTTAGTATTTACGCGACTAGAGATTTATGATTTAGAATTTATCGTGTTTTGAAAACGTGGGGTGTTACAATCTTCCCCCCTTAAAAAATTTTGTCCCCAAAATTTGTTACCTGTCCCGAATAATTCGGGATAGAGACTTTTCATTTCTGACTCGCGTTCCCATGTAGCTTCTTCGGGGGTATGGTTGTGCCACTGTACTTTGACTAGGTGTATCTCGCGGTTTCGAAGTGTCTTGGTTTTGGAGTCGAGAATTCGGAGGGGTTTTTCTTCATAGGAAAGGTTTGGATTTAGCTCAATAGGTTCGGTTTTGAGGACGTGTTTGGGGCTGAAAATGTATTTGCGAAGCATGGAGACGTGGAATACGTTATGGATTCTGGATAGATTAGGTGGAAGTGCTAGACGGTAAGCGCGACTGCCTATTCTTTCGAGTATTTCGAACGGTCCGATATATCGCGGAGATAGTTTGCCTCGGTTCCCGAATCGCAAAATTCCTTTAAAAGGGGCTATTTTTAGGAATACCAATCCTCCGACTTTGAATTCCAAATCTCGCCTCCTATTATTAGCGTAACTTTGTTGTCGGTTTTGGGCAACTCGCATATTTTCTTGGATGTCTCGAACTAGGTTCACCGTTTGTTGAACTAGGTCGGGCCCGAGAAGTTTTCTCTCTCCAACTTCATCCCAGTAAAGGGGAGATCGGCACTTGCGTCCGTACAGTGCTTCGTATGGTGCCATTCCGATTGATGATTGGAAACTATTATTATACGCAAATTCGATCAACGGTAGCCGAGATTCCAAGTTGCCTCCAAAGTCGAGTATACAGGCTCGAAGTAGGTCCTCTAGGGTTTTGATCGTACGTTCCGATTGGCCGTCGGTTTGGGGATGAAAGGCAGTGCTGAACGATAATTTGGTTCCAAGAGTTTCTTGCAAAATCTTCCAGAACTTTGAGGTGAACCGTGGGTCTCGATCCGAAATAATAGCCGTCGGAATTCCATGGAGTCGGACGATTTCTCGCATGTAGAGTTCTGCGAGTTTATCTAGGCTAAACGTCTTGCGGATTGGAAGAAAATGGGCCGATTTGGTTAGCCGGTCGATGATTACCCAAATTGAGTTGGATCCGCGCTGGGTCCTTGGGAATCCTTGAACAAAGTCCATCGTTATCACTTCCCATTTCCATTCGGGAATTTGATTTGGTTGAAGTAATCCTCCGGGTCGTTGGTGTTCCGTCTTGATTTGTTGGCAGGTGAGGCATTGGGCAACGAATCGAGCTATATCTTTCTTCATTCCCGGCCACCAGTATAGTTTCTTCAAGTCTTGGTACATTTTGGTTGATCCGGGATGACATGTATATGTGGTCTGATGTGCCTCGGCTAAAATGAGTCGTTTAATTTCAGCATCGTCGGGAATGCAAGTGCGGTTTTGGAATAGGAGATATCCTTCTTTGGAAATTCGGAAATTAGGGTTTGCTTCGAGGTTTGTGCGAATTTTCTGAAGTTGGGGGTCTTGATCCTGAGCTGTCCTCACGCGGTCTCGGAAATCTGATTCAACCACTAGGGCGTTCATCGATTTTCGACTAAGGGCATCTGCCACAACATTCGCCTTCCCGGGATGGTATAGGAATTCGCAGTCATAATCTTTAACCAGATCGAGCCATCTTCGCTGCCTCATGTTTAATTCCTTTTGAGTGAAGAAATACTTCAGGCTTTTGTGATCGGTGTAAACGGTGCACTTATCGCCGTATAGGTAGTGACGCCAGATTTTAAGTGCAAAGACTACTGCTGCGAGCTCTAGATCGTGAGATGGGTAGTTCTTCTCGTATTCCTTGAGTTGGCGGGACGCGTAAGCTATCACTTTTCCGTTTCGCACAAGTACAACACCTAATCCGAGTTTGGATGCGTCGCTATAAATCACAAACCCTCCGGATCCATCTGGTAGTGAAAGAATTGGAGCGGTGGTCAAACGCTTCTTTAGTTCTTGGAAGCTAGCCTCGCGGTCTGGGGTCCATCGGTAAGTGACTCCTTTCTTCGTGAGTTGAGTGAGGGGTGATGCGATTTTTGAAAAATCTTGAACGAATTTGCGATAGTATCCGGCTAAGCCAAGGAAACTTCGTATCTCCCTTACATTCTTTTGAGTGGGCCAGGTTGAGATTGCTTCTATTTTGCCGGGGTCGACGGAGAGTCCTTCGGCAGAGATGATGTGGCCAAGGAAAGTGACTCGGGATAGCCAAAATTCACATTTATTGAACTTGGCGTAGAGTTGATGTTCTCGGAGTGTTTGGAGTACTATTCGTAATTGGGAGGCATGTTCTTCTTGGGTTTTGGAGTATATAAGAATATCATCGATAAAGACGATGACAAACTTGTCGAGGTACTGATGAAAAACTCGGTTCATAAGATCCATAAAAGCGGCGGGGGCGTTGGTCAATCCAAACGGCATTACTACGAATTCGTAGTGGCCGTATCGAGTTCGGAAAGCAGTCTTAGGAATATCAGCTTCTTTGACTTTAAGCTGGTGGTAACCTGACTGGAGGTCGATTTTGGAGAAGACGGATGACCCTTGGAGTTGGTCAAAGAGATCGTCGATGCGGGGTAGAGGATATTTATTCTTTATGGTCACCTTATTTAGTTCTCGATAGTCGATGCAAAGGCGGAAAGATCCGTCTTTCTTCTTAACGAATAGTACCGGGGCTCCCAATGGAGAGTGACTGGGGCGGATGTAACCCTTATCGAGTAATTCTTGAACTTGATTTTTCAATTCTTTGAGTTCCACAGGAGCCATGCGGTATGGAGCCTTTGAGATTGGTTCCGTTCCCGGAATAAGATGTATTTCGAATTCGATTTCGCGATCGGGCGGTAGCCTGGGTAGGTCATCGGGGAAGACGTCGGGAAATTCTTGAACAACGGGAAGTTCGGACATCACCGGTTGAGGTTTTGGGCTCGTCTCCAGAAGATCGACTAGGTAGCCGATATGTCCCTTGTTGATGAGTTTGGTGGCTTTGATTGCGGATATTATGGGAATTGGAGTCTCGGTGTCGCTTCGAAACTCTAAGAGGGCGTGATTTGGGAGAGAAAAGCTTACAGTTTTTAGGGCGCAGTTGATTTGGGCCTTGAACTTGGTCAACCAATCCATTCCCATTATGAGGTCAAAGTTCTCGATTGCTAAGACGATGAGATCGAACCTCATGGGTTGGGATTGAATTCGAATAGGCCAATCCTTCACTATTTTGTCAGTGATCATTTCTTCGCCCGAGGGCATAGAGATGCGATATCCGTGGCTTACTTGAGTTGGTATCAGTCCAAGACGTACGCACACATTGGAGGAAATAAAGGAGTGTGTAGAACCAGAATCAATCAAAGCATACACGGGTTCTCCAAGAATAAGGACGGTACCTGCGATCATCGTCGGATCTTGACGCACTTGTTCTCGGGTCATGGCAAACGCGCGGCCTGGGACTCGAGTTTGAGCGTTGGGGCAGTCTCTCGCCTTATGGCCGGGCCTTTTGCATCGAAAACACAACTCGATATCCTTTACGCAGATCCCAAAGTGAGCCTTTCCGCAGTTCGAGCAAGTTGGCTTGGTCGTCGGTGCTACTGGTTTAGAGTTTGGACTTTGGACCTTCTTTCCTCTGAATTTGTTGTTTCCAAAATTGGCCTTCTTCCATGGTCGTAGTGTGGGTGGCTGGGGTCGTTTCCCTTGCTGGATTTCATTTTCGTCTTGAGCAGCCGTTAGTGCCTTGTCCACCATTTGGCGAAAAGTAGTGGCGTCGGACATGCGGATGTCCCTTCGAATTTCGGGTTGTAAACCCCTTGTGAAGTGATTTTTCTTTTCCTCAACGTCCTTGGCGATGAATGGGGCGTACAAGCATCCTCGTTCAAATAGTCGAACGTATTCGGTCATGGTGAGATCCCCTTGGCGGACCTTGAATGACTCCCATGACAAGTTCTCGAGTTCAATACCTTCCTTAGCTCCCTCCCACCGGTTCCGGGCTTCGTTACGAAGTAAAAAGAGGGCACAGTGCACTCGTTCACGGTCATCCATTTGCATATAATCAAAGATTACTTCCAAGGATTTGACCCACTCTTCGGCTATGACCGGGTTGGGATCGCCGTGAAACTCAGAGGGTTTCATGCGAAGGAAACGCTCGTATAGACTTTGGGGATTTGGTGGAGGTGTAGGTGGGGGTTGTCGGCTTTGAAGGAGTTGTTGAATTTGATCGTGATGATTTTGCGCTTGCTCGCGGATAAGGTTGGAGAGACCGAGAATAACGTTAGCGGTGTCTGGGAGATTGTTCGTGGCGGCGGTGTTTCGTGATTGTCTTCCTGTCATGTCTTAGTGTGTGTCGCAATTATTTTAGATCAATAAAGAAATATAAAACACAAGTAAGCACATAATTACCGGACAGACCGAGTCTTCACGCTTCGAGGGTTCCGAATTCCGGTTTGGTGCTCGTATAAAGTTCCTACAAATTTTGCTCTGATACCATGTCTGTGACACCCCCTAGATATCGTATAGCAAACCGAGAGGGTTTGCCATGCACGGAAGCTTAAAAGGTATTATATAAGTATTGAGATATATGGGTAGACTCCAATGATTAGAGAACCGATATATAACACATGAGCCAAGGCTAAAAAGAAAACGGGGTCGATTTCGGAAGAATTTTCGGCGAATGATTTAGTGGGATGGAGAAACATAAATCTAACTACTCGATAAATCCTTAATATAGACTATAAGTGGTGTCACCTTGATAAAACATAGTAATAAAAGAGTTTAGAGTCCATAATCAAAACAACATGTTCGTTCTACAAAAGTGGACCATAGTTTAACAAAAAGGGGCCCATAATCGGAGGAGTTAGCCTCCTTTACCACGGGTAATAATACACATGGGCTACTACGGAAATAGTAATTGTCCTAAGGACAATATACACAAAAGACAACACTACAAGCATTATGAGTAGATCCTCCATACGAGCCGAAAACCCGGAGTCGGCTTCTCGAACCATCGACTAGTCCAATCTGGTGGAGTGAGTAGTACTAATACCTGCAAACGGAGAATATCTATATGAGCTAACAAAGCTCAGTAAGGATCTCGAAAGATATTGAGACTTCAAAATATAGTCGTATTACATATATTATACATATAACCACACAAATGAAAAGAAGTTAAATATAGCGCATATTTCTAGCATTCAAAATTCGTGGACGTAAGAAAGCTTTTTCAGTTTATCGGATCCGATGAGAACTTAACTCCGTTACTTAGAAAATAAGAAGATTATTCTGAGCCCGTTTTCGGTGGAATCAAACCACCCAACTGTAGTATCTATGGTTGGAATACCGGCCCCCCGTATCCTTTCTCATCCTTTCTAAGTAATTCATTAATCTCCCCAATTTATTTTATTTAATTACAAAATGGCACAGCCGAAATATTTAGAATTCCGGTTGAGTTCATAAAAGTATCAATATTCCACAATGACCCATAAGAAATTTATAACACCACAAAACATCACAAATATCAATCAAGTGACAAACAACCACATAACACACAAGAATTAACCATCCTCACACATCGAAATATGCATTCGTGAATGTTCACCCACATATAACCAAAATTCCTAACAAGACTAATAAAGATCCATTTAATTCCTATATTTTCCTTAAACTACTAAATCCCAAAATTTCTTTGCTAACACATCAACTTAAAAGAGTTCGGGTATTCAGCACAATACCCCTAAATTTCTGGAAATTACAATTTGACCCCAACAGTTTCAAAACTCACACATGCAATTAAGCCAAAAGTTCCTAATTCAGATCTTCATGAAATCAACCCTTAATCTATCTGAAGTTTCATTAAATGCAGAAAAAATCCTGTTAAAAGTTATTTTATGCATATTTTTCGAAATTACATTTTCCACCCTAGACTCTCTAGATCTATACATGCATGACTCTTAGAAATTCCCAAAAATCCTTTTTCTTATAAAACTTTTTAGAAACTGAAATTGTCTTTCACTAAGTGCTGAAAAACAGATTTGGAAAACTACTAAAATTTAATTTCTCAAAAATTGCAGATTTGCCCCAAAAAGCTTTCGGATTACACATGCATCCATACTAAAATTTCAAATTCCATTTCTTCATAAACAACCTTCAAAAGTCCGAAATCTTTGTTCAATATATGCAGAAGAATGCAACTAAAAACTTGAGTTATGCAACAAATTCGAAAATTCCATTTTTCACCCCAAAACCTTTAGATCCATACATGCAAGACCACTAGAAGTTTCGAAAAATACTTTTTCTTGCAAAAGTTTCCTAAATCTGGAATTTCTGTTCCATAAATGCTAAAAACCAGTTTTGAAGACTCATATGAGTCTGACTTCTCACAAATTACAGATCTGGCCCAAAAGTATGCATATTTACACATGCAACCACAAAACTTTCCAAAATTCAATTTTCTTCACCATTTCCGAAATAACTGAAATTTCTTGAAAGCTATTAACTCAAATCTACCATTTCAGACCTCTGATCATACATGCAATAACATAAATCATGAGAATTAACAAAAAAGGAACCATTAAGTGCAAGAAAGAACATAAAACAAGAATTAGGGGTGTCTTTTAATTAATTTCGAAATTTTCTGTTCTTGATACTTTGATACCTCCATTTGCAGCAAGGATTTCGATTCCTTACCTCAAAAATAGAAAGGAATGAAAGCTAGCTGAAAAGGGGAAGGTTCTAAGGAACCTTCAAAGAAAAGCCGAAAGTTAGAAGAAGAAAGGAACGAAGAAGAAAGAAGGGGGTTGGAGAACTTGGAATGGCAGCTTCTTACCTCTTCAAGTTTGGAGATTCAACCAAGCTACTTTGATATGAAATGACACGGTATAGATTTCAAGATGAGAGTTGTTTTCACTAGTGAAAGGACACCATGTATTTATAGTGTTCTTGGAGTATTCTAGGGCAAGGGTGAGATAGGGAATTCTCATCTTGGCTTGATAAAAATCTTGTTGGTTTAGGGGGGTTTCGAGCTTGATGGAGCTGGTGACAATGGTGGTTTGAGGAGGAAGAAATTTAAGGGAGAGAGAGGGAGAGTGATGCAGCCGAAATGAGAGAGAGAGAGAGAGACCTTTGGCCTTCTAATAGGCATGGTTGAGGTTTAGTGTGAGAATGGCACTAGTAGGGATTAGGCTAGGCTTAGGATAATCATGTGTTTATTTTATAATTATTAATTAATCCTCCTCTAAATACACACACATATACGGCACATATACATACATATATATCATGTATTATGATATTTATACTAAGTCCTAGCATGCATGTATAATTTACCCGTAAACACATAGGCATATAAGGTCACGTATAAAATTCGATATCTAATAATTCGGCACATAATAATCCACGTATAGCCCTATTATTAGCAACATTTAGTATTTACGCGACTAGAGATTTATGATTTAGAATTTATCGTGTTTTGAAAACGTGGGGTGTTACAACTTTTGCGTGAGTACTTCTGTGCATGCTTTTCTACTCTTACTTATGAGCGTATCTTTCTAGCGAGAGTTTTTGTGCACGTTTCTTGATGCGCATGCATGTCCTCGAACTGTATTACGTATTTTCATGATCGCTGTTGGAATCCAATTTTGACCATGTTCGAGTCCGAATTTGGATTTTTGCCATTAGACAGGAATTGTAGCCAGCTGAAATAGCTTTCTAATGCCGCCGGAACCAGTTGATTTGGAGTCCGGATGAGAAAGTTATGCTCGACTTCGTGGACGTACACTACCAAAGATGTTGAGGGATTCTCTCTTCTAATTTGATTTTATTTTCCTAATTGCAACTCTTTTCTTACTCTTTGATCATTTTTGGTTCCTGGACACCTAATTTTAGATTTGTACCTATAAGATACCAAATCCACAAATTCAAACAGAAATATAAATTAATCCAAAAAACTAATCCACGCAAACGTAAACGTAGAGTTTTATTTCTACACTCCACCGTACCTATTTTATCTAGTGTTTTTGCTGTTGTTTGTTGATGTGTATTAAAGTCCTAGTATTGTAGTTCGTGTTTTTAAGAACGTTGTTGCGAATGCACTTTTGCGCATGTTTTTTTACATGTACGCTTGTGCATGTCCATTTGAGCGAGTGTGCTTGTGCATGTTTGGTGATTTGTATTAATGTCCTAGGATTGTAGTTTGTGTTTGCA